CTCTCTCTCCATGGGAATAACCTGCTCTGTCGCACCCTTGGGCATACCAACCCGCCCCCACTCCTCCATGATAGTTACCACCTGCAGTGTTGCATTCACCTGGCTGCCCCCCAGTGCCTCCCTTCCGAACTTTCAATGATTCTTTCCCCACACTACTTGTGCCACTTGTTCCCGCCTGACCATCCACACCATTATATTCACTAGATGCACCTCCGCCCCCTCCAGCAGCTAATAAAAGCACACTATTTGAAGTATAAACAAAACTTCCTCCCCCTCCTCCTGTACCAGCATTTTCCTCTACAGAGAGTCCTAGCTGAGCTGCTGTCTGGGTAGTACTTTGTCCTCCTTTCACCTCCACCGAGTTTCCTCCTCTCTGTCCCACTACAATATTCAGCACTGTTCCTTTAGTCAGTCTCAACTTGCCTTCAATGTACGCACCCTTGCCGCCATAGTAAGTTCCGGGATTGTATCCATAGTTGTACGAATGTGTTCCTCCCCGGGCTCCCCAGGCTTTGATGAGGTAGCGGGCGCTTCTGGGAACGGTGAATTTCTGAATGGTGCCAACTCGTCCCTTTCCTCCTTTAGTTGTAAACTGAGCTATTGGGAACAGATAGAAAGTTAAAAGTTAGATGAAATGCTCAGCTCGAAATATCCGAGGGAGAACAGCGTTAAATTTGTAAAGTTAACGTGGCAATCCTCAGTGGGAAACATGATGGGCGACTTATACGCTGACTTAGAATTCTTAGCGCTCAAATAGTTTTTCGAACAGGAAAATTTTGAAATATTCAAGCTAAACCATACACAGTTTCAATAGTACTAAGACAAATATTTCAAAACGTGTGGTTTTCTTTGTGCCTAATTATAGTGGGCTGCGTTAAGTTCGCAAGGTATTGTGGTGAAATGTACAGCTGCCCTCTTTTCTTCCTACCAAGGATTAAATCGTCTACCATTTGTGCGTAATATCAGGCAGGGGGCTGAAATGCGTCAGTGGCCCGTCAGGCGGGCGCCTATCTTCGTTGTCAGTGCCATAGGGGCATTTCCACCTTGCCATGGATGGCATGGTAAGGTGGATGGTAATATGTCATAATAGGTTTTTTGGCCTGGGAAAGCACTTCTGTAAAAACCTGGGAAACTCTCTTGCTGCGGGGATCAGTACCGGATCTGTTACAGGGAATTATCTTTAGAGACGTCAACAGCACTCAGAACTTAGGTCCAACGATATCGTTTTAATCCAAGAACACAACCAGAATGCAGCCGGAACATAACCGGCATGCAACCAGAATGTAACCGGAATGCAGCCGGAATGTAACCAAAGGATATTTTACAAGGCACGACTATTTAAGCCGAAAGCACAATTTCAGAAAGCTCGATTGGCTGTAACGGAATTCATCGTTTACAAGATTAATAACTTTCAAAACAATACAGGTAGATAACAGTTTAACAAAAGACTATCGCAGGTAGCAATTACAGTTCAACGCTTATTACAGTTATGATCCTACAACAAACTAGCAGGTGTCTGTTACGGTCAATGAACTGGAACAGTAACCTCTAACTTAGAAATCCAAAACGAGCTAAAACTAATACATCTACGTTGGATTTCTATATTTTCTGATTGCGAAAGCGAATATGTAAAACGTACTTAATTATCTAATTTTCTCTCCTCACAAATAGGTTCTTGTGACCTGTTGTCTGTTTCGCTAAAAGTTTAGGAAGACATAAGCTACTGACAACTTATGCGCCTGACTAAACAAATAATGAACAATAGTCAAGTTGATTAGGTAATATATAGCGTTTTTTTAGATTTGTGTCCTGAACCTGAGACCAAATTGATTGCAAACAACGCAAATCAGGCAACGAACTAAGGGGAAGCCAAGGACCGTGAACTATTATTCAACTAACCATTTTCAGCCGGCAAAGTCAAAACATTGCACTATATTGGTCTAACTGGTGTCTTTGTGTGGAACCTTTTGAGAGCTACTTACTAGATACTACGAGATTAGTCCTGGCGTCTATAGTGTAGTAGGGCACTTTTGCTTCACAGATGTAAATCCCAGAATCAGCTGCATTAAGTCTAGAAATCTGTAAACTTCCTCTCTGTACTTTCATTCGTTCGTAATTCCAGACCCCCGTGGATCGTTTCCAGGATATAGTGGGAGTTGGCTCGCCAGATGCAGAACAGTTTAAAGACAAGTCATCGCCTGGCACTAGCATGAGTGTTTGGGGCAGTTTCGTTATGAATTTCGGAACCGATATCACAACCAACGAGGTAACTGCTGATGTCTCTCCTAAGTTATTCTTTGCGTTGCACACATAGGACCCAATATCGTGTTTTGCTGTGAGGCCCACTGTTAGTAAACCGCCGTCCTGTATAGTTCTGTCTT